GTGTTGTCGTTATTTCCGTCGACGTTAAAAGATAATATTATTTAATATCTATGTTGATATAAAAGTGGTAAATTGCATTGTTTAGTTTGACTTGTGAAAAATAACAACTTTGAGTCTTTGACGTTAGGATATGAATAACAAACCTGTTACAATAGAGAACTGTTTTAAATAATAGTTTTCAGAATAATAATGTTAAATAATATTGTAAAAAAAACACTTACACGAGACCAACATTGCCAAGAGTATAATATACAAAAGTTAACCTTGTGGCTTCTAGTTTTTCGATCACTTGTCATCATCTAGCAACTTATAGAGTCTATAAGTTTTTTTTTATCATCATTTTTTATTATGCATCGAAATTACTGAATTTTCGGGTGTAAGCCATTTTGGTATTTGATGACAAAATTTAATCATTTAGATATCAGATTTTTATTAGTTACAATATTGTGTAATGTATAGACAAGATATCATGTCTAGGGTCAAAGATTTTTTTTCTAGCTCAGAAAGTTAAGACATAAGACGTTATCTTTAATTATACACTTGAATCATAGTATATGCTATACTTTTCATATATAATGATTCAACCACTCGAAGTAGGTTTTTTTTTGCTGTCGATTGTGTCGGTTAAGCAATCATAAAAAGTAGTCATGAGTGCAACTCTTCTATCTGCATGACCAGAGATTTTAATCCTAAAAATAAATATCTTTCCAATTTTGAAGTGGTGGTTTGAACAAGAAATATTTGTATTGATTCTTTTTGGGAACTGCATCCATCAAATCTGTTTGGGTTTTTTTTTAACTTGTACACTTTTTATTGATATATTATATAACTAGTATTAATTTTATTGGACATCACAGCGATGGCCGTTCAACTCGGCGGAGGTCACGACCGAAGATATTATTATTGTTAATTTGTGTATTTTTTTTATTATTTTTATAATTATTCGGCTATTATCCGGTCGTGTAATTTTACAGCAGGTATACGGTCCAATAATAATATTTAAATATTCGTTGGAGAGAGACGATTAGAGTGCGGTGATATAATTAATGTGTATCCGATCGAAGAGGACTTGTTCAAAAAAAAAACCCAGGATTTCTCTCGGTTATTTTTCTGCCAAAAAAAAAAAAATGGTTATTTCTTCGGCTCGTTTATTGGCCGTCGACCCGACGAGACACGGTGGTCATTACAACCTAACTCTACTACCCGTTTTGTGTGCGTTGAGAACTAGTTTTTTTACTCTCCTCCAATGCAATTAAAACCAAGTCTTGGACTGCTGTGTTAATATTATAACGACCAACAACAACATACCTCTGAGATAGGTGCACTCGGAGCCGTTGGAATTCTTGCATAACGCTCGAATAAAAGTTTAAAAATATTCCACCTCTCCCGAGAGAGATAGATAACACGTGCTGTCGTCCCCTATCATCTCTTCTTTTTTGTATTGATGTTGTTATTTCAACGGTCGGTTGAGCTTTTAGCGCGTTTTGGACATGTTAATATTGTATAAATACTAATTAATAACCCCATAGGGTCGAACTCGGACTCGGATGTTTTTGTGTATTTAAAACGCCATAAAAAATTAATATCGAACGATTGACTACTGTGGGTTGTTTTAGTGTAGTAACGGTCTGTCGTTTCCAGTCATGCGGGCATTTTTTTTTTTTTTTTAGAGGAAGCCCACGAGGAATCCGGTTAACCCTCTTGGCCTTGTTTCGTCCCACGTCGTCACTATTAATTAATTACTCATTTTGTATTTGTAGTACTGACATTGTAAAAGTAATGGTTAAAAGCACACGATAATGTATATTAAGGCAATTATTTGCTTACAAACGTTTATAATGGTAAAAAAACATTTTGGGAAAAATAATCCACACGAAAGAAAAAAAAATGTTATTGATAAAAGGACATGAGCTGATAAGATAATATTGATAAGAGAGCATGAACTGATAACATGAACTCAATAACTGATAAGAAACAAAAAAGATAAGCAGTATGCTGGAGTTGAAGGGATTTTGTTCAGCACACCAAATTTGTGTGGTGTATTTACCCCCCAAAAAAAAAAAAAATGAATTTGCTATTATAGGGATTTTTAATTCCTTTTTCAAGGCTAGGTACATTATTTATAATAACATGGATGCTTAACGCACTCGTTATTCTGTGGTTCAACACCTTTTTCAATACTCTTAAGTAAAATAAACAACACAACATTTAACTAAGGTCTAAGGTATATTGTTTTTAATTTAAACTCATTACCTTGGCTAATTTTACAACATTCTTTTATTTTAACATATTACTTAATTACAACAGTTAAACGTACATTTTTTTTTTTAGAATTGATACCAATTGCTTTAAACACCGAAGAGGTTTTATCTGAATCAAAAAAATAGTGCCTGTCATTAGCTCAATTGTTATGAACTGATTGAAGACATTATGTTCTAAACAAGTTCTTTTTTTTAGATTCTACTGCGTTAGTTTCCTTCAATTTGTGTCTCTTGTTCAGTTTTAAACATAGCAGTCCTTTGATCGAACCTTTTAAACTGTATACTAATCCCGATTGAGATATGTATTTTAATATTCAGCTTATATTTCTTCTGTTCCATTTTTTTCTTATCTTTGAACAAGTTTTTGAGTCTTTTTTTGGAATTTTCTGTATTGTAAACGACACTTGTAAGCCTACCTACAAAGATACGCACTCTTGGAAAGCCAAGCTTTGAATATTAGTACTTTGTACTATTATCCAAGTATCTCGTTACTTACCTTTTGTGTATAGGTTAGACGGTGTAGGTGTACGTTGAAGACAGACAATTGTTGGTTGAAAAAAAAACCGTATGTTGGTAATTACTGTTTAAACAAAAGTAAAAATATGGTCGGTTAAATTCGACGACCACTTGTTGTGTTGTTCGGTTAAGTGAACTCTGCAGTTCTGGGAATGGTTTTTTTTTTATTGTTGGTGTAACAAAGTCGGGCAATCATCAGGTGGTGGCAACCTGGCCGGAGGTGTTTTGGCCGGGTTAATAGTTTTTAAAAGATCAGTGGGGGCAAGGGGGGTTTCCAGAGAATTATAACGTGGCCTGTGTGTGGAGTTGGTGAACCGTATCTCAGCTATTTTGTGTGTGTGTGTGTTTGAACGCCGGAAACGCGGTTCTTCGGCATGCACATAAAATTAAAAAACGCGTTCGATGATAAATATATTGAGTACTTGGATGATTTTGTTTGTATATAAAAAAAATCAGATCACTGAAAAAAATGCCACTAAAAACACATGTCAGTAGACTCGGTAACAAAATCTATAATCTCAATATTCGTCCATTTGATATTATAGACTGTTGAGGATTATATTCTATTTGAATGAATAACTTTGATTTTATTCATTCAATTAGTAGTTTGGGTTCATGTTGATTTAACAACGTCGATTATGTACAATGCATTCAAATGGTTGGTAAATTATAGAATTATAGATTTTGTTTCGTTTTACCTAATACTTGTGTTTTTTTATGAATAGATTTGGTAGTTTGTCTGCAATCTACTTCGAGTTTATCTCATAAGTCATTATAATAAATTATCAAAAATCTCCGTCATAAAAAAACTACAGAAAAAACGTTTTGCCTATTTCATCTAGTGCAATTTGTTGTATAACGCATCAGTAGTTTTGCTGTCATCGGTTATCGTTTTCATTTTAATTACATAATGTCATAAACTTGTTGTCTTCACTGAGTATACTCACTCGATAGTAGTACTATATTTTATTTGTAACACTAATTAGCTTAATTATACGAAAATACACATATTAAGATCTCATAAAACTGTAGGCTGTGATGCAGGGAGATTCTTATTCGTGTAAAATGATTTCGAGGCTAATTTCACTGAAAAATAATGTAAATCATTGTACAAGAATGTTATCAGTTAAATGTATCTACTTCATGAATTAATATCCACTAAATACAATTTTGTAATATCAATGTAATAAAATCTGTGATATTTTAAATAATTCTCGAAAAACTAAAAATCAAGAAAGTCGACCCCGACTTGGCAAGCGTTTTTTAAATTTTCTATGCAATAATAATAAATATTTTATTAGATAAATGTGCAGCAGTTGCTCTAAAATTTTGTATTTATACGACCGTGACGAAATATAATATATATATATATGTATTTTTTTAATTTATATATTTTTTTATTAAGAGGCAATATGAGCTCTCATTCAATAATAAAAAAACATCAAACAGAGTGTTGTAGCTTATGCGGGACACAAGGACGCGATGTGTGTTTGACCTTTGGCAACAAACTGTCAGTGTAGGGGTTAAGAGTGTGGGCGATGCCAATCAAACTTAAACATTTTCCAATTAAAATCTATTTTCGGTTTTATTCGGATGCGGACGTGAATGCAAGTGCGCATTAGTGTTGTAAAATTTCATGTAATTTATTCAATATTAGTCATTTCATTTGTGAGTTCAATTGTAAGTACAAGTTCTACCCCAACCTATAAGTCCACTTAGTAGCTATAGTGTAGTACTCAACGGTAAAGTGGCGAATACCGCTTTCAGGACACAGGCGGTTAAAGTTATTTGAAACAATGTAAGTACAATTGCCAATGTACTTGGCGCACTCTAGCGGCGGACAGTTCAAGCATGGAGTTATTTATCTTAGCCATTTAACCGGGTTAGGTTAGGTTAGGTTAGGTTAGGTTAGGTTTGGTTTGGTTAGGTTAGGTTAGGTTAGGTTAGGTTGGGTTGGGTTGGGTTGGGTTAAAATAGAAGACCAAATTTAATTGTTAAACTAAAGATGTATTGTATTTTTCATTCCTCAATTGTACATATTTTGTATATTATATTGTATGATTTCACAAAAGAGATGTAGGCGGCCCCATAGTAATAGCTAACCCCTAGTTCTAGAGCCGTCTACAATTCTAAAATGTAAAAAAAAAAGGTTAGGTTTGGTTAGGTTAGGTTAGGTGTGGTGTACTCTAACCCTACTAAAATTGTAACTTTTGTGTGTCGCAGGAAATCCGCAAGGCTCTGATCGAGTTCCCGGTGGAGAAGGTGCACATCAGCACGACGTCGGGCAGCAGCATGGCCAAAGTGACGCTGGAGGATCCCGAGCTCCGGATGGAAGAATGGGACTTCAACAAGCAGTTCCTGATCAGGGGGCAGCGCATCCCGGTGTCGCCCACGCCGACGGAGATGCTGTTGTGCGTGGCGCGGCTGCCGTTGAGCTACACCGAGGAGCAGTTCACGCAGCTGATCCAGATGTACGGCGAGGTCGAGAAGTCGTTTCTTATCATCAGCGAGAGGACGGGCGACAGCAAGGGCTACGGGTTCGTCGAGTACGCCAAGAAGGAGTATGCGATCGCCGCCAAGTCCGGTTTGGACGGCAAACAGATCAAAGACGCGAAAATCGTGTGCGACTGGCTGGACGGCAATCACATCACTTACGAAGCCTTGCACTCCAAGTGCCTCTACGTGGACAGGTTGCCCACAGGATTCCGGGACATGAGCGAATTCCGACAAATGTTCGCCAAGGTGGTCAACCCGCCGTACTGTCAGGTCAGTAGCAGGTCAAAAATCCTGTCAGAACTCCCCCGGCTAACCTATCCTCTATCTAAATCTTACAAACGTAGACAGCCATAACTTCTCCTAAACCTCATCTGTCTATTCCAAATCGAGAACCCGTCTTGAATATCCAAATTCAAATTAACACATGGACTGTGCACCGTTAAAGCATACTCTATGCTGATAATGAGAATTTTCCTACTCCTCTTCTCGAGCAGTAACACGAATGTGTCTTATAGCACCCACCATGATAAGGAGAGGTTGATAAGAGATAACGATAGATTGATAAGAGATAAGAAGAGGTTGATAAGAGTCCATGGATCTTAAAAGCTCTCTCAGAGTTTCTGTAGCACAAAATTAATAACGTTCCTTGCCCTAACTGGAATACGTCTATGCTGATAATGAGAATTTTCCTACTCCTCTTCTCGAGTAGTAACATAAATGTGTCTTATGGCATCCACCCACTCGCAATATTGATTAATGAAGGACGAGTGATAAGGGGAGGTTGATAAGAGATAACGATAGATTGATAAGAGATAAGGAGACACATCGACCGAAACGTTATTAATTTTGTGCTACAGAAACTCTGAGTGAGCTTTTAAGAGCCATGGACACTAGCTCGAGCTGCCTTCTACTTGCAAAATATTTTCATTTTGATTGTGTTTGTTGGTGGTTTAGATTGCATTGAAAAATGGATGCCCGTTGGACTGGGGACTTGTCGAGTACAACTCGGCCGAAGACGCGGAAAGAGCGCAATCCGAATTGGACGGTCATGTGTTGAGAGGTCAGAAAATTCGTATAACCTACTACATTCCCGGTGTGCGAGCCATCAACTTGTTTTTGAAGTTGTTGAACGAACCGGTAAGTAGTAAAAAATCTACCACTATATTATATTATATTATATTATATTATATTATCGAACCCTGTAATGATTTTTTTCATCGAAATTTGTGTACAGAGCAAGTCTAAATGTGGCGGACTATTGCCAGACCCGCCCAAAGAAGTGATCGAACAGTCGTTGCAGAATCTTTCCAAACAGAATCCAATTTGTAAGTATATTTTGCGTGTGTGTTTTTCGAAAACATATTTTTACATGAATATGATGTTTTCTGGCTTGGTGTATATCAGTTTAAGTATTTTTTTCTATAAAATACTCTTCGTTTTTCAGTTGCTCAAAATCTTCAGAATATCATTTTCAATCAGATCAAAGCGTCGCAAATGGCTCCGGAGCTTCAAGATTTTTCGGACCGTAAGTAGTTTAAATTGGTAGAATAATTAGGAATTTTATATAAACATGTATTAAAGTGGATATTAATCTTATTGCTTTCCCTTTAGCTTCTCTGAGGTCACATCTGATGGGCGGAAAAGTGCCACCGACAATGTTACACTCTCCGAGCAGTTTGCCGTACATGAGTTCCAATCCAGAGGTACACAACTACTGTCAAATTTTTTATTTTTTTTTATTAATCAAAAGCAAAAAGTTTACAAATAGCCCATCATGAGTTCCAGTCAATAATTAAACCCAAGTATTTTGTTCGTGCGACCCTAATTATTGTCTGACAGTTACAAAAAGTAGAGTCTGGATTATTACAAGAGTGAATAAATATATCGTTGATAGGCATATGAATGTTGTTATTTATGGAGAAAGTAATAAAATTAGTTTTCTTAGTACTTAAGGTATTAGTTTTGTACTATTTCATTTTTTATTTACCGTACTTAGACCCCGAATTAAAACTGATTTGTTAATTTTTTTTTAATTATAACAAATTAAATTCAATAACTTACTGATTTTTAACTTAACGGGCCACTAATCGGTCTCTTTTAATTAATTTCCTTATTCCAGGCATACGGCACAAGACTGTTGTCGAGCCCACCCGTCGGAGAGGTGCCGCCGCACATGGCTTCCGGATTGTTCGACGGTGACTTGACCAACCCGTTGTTGGCCAACTATTATCGAGAACTGCTGACGGCTCAGATTCTGGCCGGAGCGGCGGCCAAGAGCAACGGCTTCGGCGGACTGGCCACCAACCTGCAACAGACGTTTGTCGACAGCGTGGTGCAGCCGTCCAACAACAACGGCGGCAACCTGAACCAGAACCAGAGTCTGCAGAACATTGGCCAACAGCTTGTCGGCGGCCACCAGATGGGCCAACAACAGCAGCAGCAGCAGCAGCAACAGAACATCGTCATCAACAACATACTGTACAACTTTGGCGGCGTCAACGCGACGACGCCTCCGGCCACACCGACGCCGACGACGCCCACTTTCGGCTCGTCGTTGTCGCTGAACATCGAACAGGCCTGGTCGACGAAGAACCCGTCGTCCACGTCGGCCGACACGTACTTGGCCAGCCCCATAGCGGCGCCGGAGAAGTCCACGCTGAGCTATTCGCCGTCCTCTACGTGGTCTCTGCAGAGCGGCACGTCCACGCCGTCGCCGCAATCGCTATACTCGCCGTTGGCGCCCAACATCTGGACGCCCACGTCGTCCACGTCGTCGCTGTCCAGCCAAGAGTCGTCGCGCGGACAGAAGCGCGGCATACCGCCGTCGCCCGAACTCAGCCCCGAGGGCATGTACATCGGACAACATTCGCAAGGCATCGGCGGCCACTACGCTGACTCGTACTTGAAACGCAACAAGAAGAACTGATGCTGCGCTGTTGGACGATCTATGATCTACGATGATGATATTAAATGATTTATACACACATGACTTAGATATTTCTATCACTTTTTCAACAAACACAAACAAATATTATTAATATTTAACTTTTTTTATAAAAAAAAAAAAAAATGAAGAAAAAAAAAAGAACACTTTATATGTTTTATTATTACTATTATTTTTCAATATTTGGGAAACTTAACGCTTTCTATGTATTATACGTACGATAATGATAATAATAATAATGATCGATGTCCAGCGTCGTGATTGATTTTTGTGAGCTACGCTTGTGTCACACGCACGGCCTTTACGTCGTCTCACTTTTGCAACAACGAAAACAAACAAACTACTATAGACTTGCCCTTTTTCTGTTTACTTTTTTTTCCAACGTTTTTTTTCAATATATACTAAGTCGAATTATTATTATTATCCACTATATTTATAAGCGACGGACTATTTTTATTTAGATTTATTTATATATATATATTTTTTTTTTTTAAATCTAAACACTACTTTTTTTTTTATAATACATATATTTTTTTGACTGAATCGATGGCCTTCACTGTCCGTCACGTTGATTTTTGTATTATTATTATTATTATTATACTTTCGAGAAGAACAAAATACTTTTTCGATTTAAGCCTGGCGCGTTTTGACCTCTTTTTTTTTTTTTATATATATTAAAATAATTCTTAAATATTAAGTTTTTAAACACACAGCATAGATTATATATTATACATTATTTTTTTTTTTTATTCTCGCTTTGACACTCGGTATGGACTCGCTCGCCAGTCTCGGTTCATTCGAAAAATTCTTGGAGGCATATCAAAGAGCCTATTTGTATTTTTTTTTTTTTTTTTTTTATGATTTATAATTATTATTTTGCTGCTGCTTAGATATTAATATTAGCTACTACTATTATGTACTGTATTTTCCATTTTTTTTTTTTTTTATTGACAACGAGCGATGTACGTTTGTTCGTTAGTTCGATTTCCCGTAAACTCGATCAATGTGTGTTCGTATCGATATTATAACATTTATTTACACAATCGGGTTTTTTTTTAATTTAAATAATTTTGTCTTATCGACTCGCTGCCGAAATCTATTTCGATTTTTTTTTTTTAATACTTAAATAATTATCATTAACTATTAGTTTTTTTCCCTCCCATTTGGACGCTGTCAAACGAAAAAAAATAACGATCTATGCGATCGTCGTCCGAATAATTATATTAACGTTTTTGCGCGTTAAGCTGTGATTTATTTATTTATATTGTATTAATTTTTTTTTGGTATGTTAACATGTGTGTGATTTGACGTCCAAATATTGTGTAGATTTTTTTTTCTTTTTTCTTTCTATATGTTCAAAACGTTATGAGAGACTGTGTGCAAATATAAATTATTTGTCGCGTAAAACAACGCCCAACCGTGTTGTTGTTGTTGTTGTTGTCGCAAAGAAACTCATCTCTCGTAAAGTCTTTTATCATTATCATTATTTATTAATTATTACGATTAATATTTCATTTCTTTTTTTTTCTTTTTTTTTTAAGGCTGATTAGTTAATCTGCTTCTGTCGGCGGTCCCATCTATTAATTTATTTATTACACACACACACACTTGACCCCCGCGTTTAACCAAACACTTAGTCCAAGCTTTACTCGTAACGATGTAGAAAATATGTAATTTTTTCGTTAAGGTATCTTTTTTTTCCCCCTTTGATATGTAAATATAAGTAATTGATTTCATATAATATTTTGTGTACACACAAATTGATTATTATTAATAACGAGTTCGTATTTTTTTTTTTTTTTTTTATTAATTTTTTGATTATTGTTTTCTTATCGTGTCGCTTTATCTTAATTATTTTAATTTGTTTGTTTCGGTCGACGGATCCAACAACGACCGTGTACTTGGTACGTCCTTTGTAACACTTTTTTTTGTTTTTTTTTAAACTTCCCATTCGATCAAAAACGGATGTCGTCGTTTTGTAACTTTACGGTGATTTTTTCTTATTTCATCGTTTTTCTTGTTCGGTTATGCTTACGTGTGACTACCTTGTGTAGTTGAATTATACTTTGAAAACAATACAAAGGAATCGATTTCGGTATCGTAAAAGTACGATAAATTAGTTTACAATACAACGATATTACGGTATAACACATTTTGTCTTTGTTATGAATATATTTTTGATTTTTAAAAGGCTGACTAGCATTACATGTAATAGAAAAAAAAAATCTGTAGTTTTTCCTATTCTTTTTCTTATCTTTTTTTTTTCATAATAATAAATTTACACATAATAATATTTAACGACGACGACAATTTTTATTATTATTTTTTTTTCCCCATTCACAAATATCAAATGTAATTTATTTTTTGTCTTGATGAAACTTTTTTTTATTCCTATTTGTTAATACTCTTAAAAAAAAAAAAATCTCGTGTTATTTAATTATATATATAGAATATTATGATATATATTATAAAAACGAACTATGTTATTATTTTAATATATTATTATTCTCTTTTAACGTCTCCTCTTGTTCTCTTTGCTATGATAATAATTATTTATCGTCGCTCGATTGCCTTTTTTTAGGTTTAAAAATGAAATGATAAACAAAAAATGTTGACAGCCCTTTGTAATGTTATATTTCTTTTCATTTTTTTTTTTCTATTCTATTCTATTTTGTATTATTTTTATTACTACTTTTGTTTCGCTATTATTAAACAATCTGTCCAAGATCTGTTGTCTCGGTTGATATTAATTATTTAAAAAATAATTATATATATATTATATATTATGTGTATACTTGTACTTGTCTATGATTTACGTATCTATTTTGTATTTTTTTTCAAAATTATTCGGACACGTTAAATGTACGGTCTACGCAACTGTCGGCGGGTCCTTTTTTTTTATTTATGAGAAAAGTATTATTTTTATTTCATGTTTTTTTGTGTAATACTCATTTGTATAATGTATTTTGTCCTTTTTTTTTAAATTGTGTATTTTAAAGAATAAATAAAAAACGTACCTTCATTTCAAACATTTTGTGTGTTTGTACTGGAATTATCACATTCTCTCATCATTAAGTTCTCTGTTACATAATGTATTGTATAAATATATATCAAGAGATAATATTTATATTATTTCCAATATGGAATTATAGGAAATACTGAGTTTTTTTTATATATTAAGACGGGACGTGATACTGTTATTGGATTTAGGCGAATATTTAGCAATATATTTAAAGGTTAATCCTGTTATAGCTATGATTACTATTATTGGCTAAATAATAATAGTAGAACAATTTTTTTTTCCTACCAAAAACAAGAAGAACTTTAAACCTGGTCGAAGAGTTCTTCTCTTTATATTTTTGACCATTTCATATGAATAAATTACTACTCGCGCTTTTTGGAAAACAAATTTTCGAATTTTGAACATCAAAAATTAAAGACTAATAATAATAAATTGCGTGACCTCTTTATTTTTGATTTAATTATTATTGGAGTTATGTCCAGTCCCGAGAACCTTTTTGAAAATGTTGTGTAAAACCCATTTTGGGAAAATTATAATTGTAAGACAACCTCTGTATATGTACGTAGTGGTTTGTAGAAAACATATTTTTATGTAAACAAATGGGGTTTTATCGTTGAAAAAATTGCAAATTTTATTTATTGATTTACAATAATCTAATATATTAAATAATAAATTAAATATTGTGCCGATACAGTTGCCTTAATTTTTTTTTCGAATATAATTTGCAAAAACCAAATCAAACAATACAAAAATGTATAGTTAAGTTTAAACAATCAAAAAAGCTTAATCGACTACCCATTGACATGTATAAGTTTGTTTTTTTTTTTTTTGGAGAGGGAGGGCAAATTTACTTTATCAAGTCTAAATCTAAAGTTAAAATGTGTAGTCAGAATTTTTTTTTTTTTTAAGGAAAAACATTAAAAATTTCCAAATTTACTCTCCGTCTCCACTATTCCTCGGCCCCACTGGAACACTGGAAGCAGGCAGACATTTTGTTCACCCAGATGCAAAAACGTTCCAACTTGGTCGGAGGGCTTATGACAACCTCCATGTCGCTGACTGACAAGTCCACGGACGAGTTATCCTCGGGTGATTCCACCGTTGTGTAACGGACATTCTACAAACAAAAAGAAACACAAATAAAAACCGTGTAAACGAAACTTGTTCAGATGTTCTTGTGGCCAAGTGGACCGTTCTCCCATTTCCTTTGTCTCCCGTGGTTTTGCCCGAGGATTTGAATTGGGAGCAATGTTCAGATAGGAGCATTTCGTCCACGCTATTATTTTTTTTTTCAAATTAAATTCGATTGCCGCTTACATTTCCCCTCCTGAAGAGTCCAGGAGCCCATCGCGATCGGTTCTGGGTTCTTACAGATCTGACGATGTTCATGGCTTCTTCGGTGAGCGGCGCGCGCATACACATCAGTGTGAGTATCGGTTCTTCGGGCTTTTCCTTCATGTCTTCGCAAAACGTTAACAATTTAGCAACGTCATCGAGATCGACACCGTTCGCTACCGACAGCACTTGTTCCCTGCAATGAAAATACAATACTTCGCCGTTACTGGATCGTGTACAGCTTTCGGAGGTGTAATTATCAACATGAATACGCGTTGTGGCCAGGACGTCCAAAGAGTAGATGAAGTAAAGAAGGATCTACAACGGATGGGCATGCGGAACTGGAGAAATGCTGCTAAAGAATGAAATTAGCGGATAACAATTGATTTGGAAGCCAAGGGCCCACTATGACCCGTATAACTTAGGAGAAGAAGCCTCGTCAACTCACTTTCTAATCTCTTATCAATCGTCCTTATCACACTACTTATCTCTTATCTCTTCTGTTTATCACTCATCTTTATCATAAACTATTTGGTTTGCTACGGTCAGCTAAGATTCGGAGTGTGTGGATTCCACAAAACCCCGTATTCATGATTGACATTTTTCCATTGTTATTCGTTTATACACTCACGCGATATTCTTCGGAACGGAAATGAAACACATGGTTGTCAAGTCGCTTGTCACCATGTATGCGCACTTAACGAATCTGATGAA